CTCCTAAACAAAATATTAATAAGTTACTTGAAAATCAAGTAACACGAAAAAAAAAAAAAAAAAAAATTATAAAAAAAAAAAAAAAACAAAAAAAAAAAAAAAAAAACTACATTTTCTCACTGTAAAACATTTGGAGACTAAACTCAATTATAAACCTGCAAATAAGAGAAAACCATTATATAATCTTGGTTATATTTTTCTCTAAGAAGAAATATTTTAAATTAGAACATAATTAGAATCAGACTCCTGATTTTAGTGGCTCTAGTGACCCCAAATGCCCACTGACAGGTGGTGACTCACTTTGAGGAACCCATTCTAGAAAGCTAGTATGTGGGATCAGCTCCTCAACATCCCCATTTCAGCCAGACTAGCTGCTCTCTGCCCATGTCAACTGAATGATTTATCAAGGGAATTCTACACATTCTACTGGAAACCCAATGTGGGCATTTCAAGATCCTAGAGATACATCTTTTTTAAATTTTATTTAAATTCAATTTAGTTAACATATAGTGTATTGTTAGTTTCAGGGGTAGAATTTAATGATTCATCAGTTCCATATAACACCCAGTGCTCATTACATCAAATGCCCTCCTTAATGCCCGTCACCCAACCACGCCATTCTCCCCTCCAGCAACCTTCAGCTTGTTTCCTACAGTTATCAGTCTCTTATGGTTTGCCTCCTTCTGTTTTCATCTTATTTTTCCTTCCCTTCCATTATGTTCATCTGTTTTGTATCTTAAATTCCACACAGGAGTGAAATTATATGGTATATGTCTTTGTCTGACTGACTTATTTTCCTTAGCGTGATACCCTCTACTTACATCCCCGTCATTGCAAATGGCACAATTTCATTTGTTTTCACGGCTGAGTAATATTCGTGTGTGTGTGTGTGTGTGTGTGTGTGTGTGTGTGTGTGTAGCCACTTCTTTATTCATCTGTCAATGGACATTTGGGCTCTTTCCATAGTTTGGCCACTGTGGACACTGCTGCTATACATATTGGGGTACATGTGCCCCTCTGAATCATTATGTTTGTATCCTGTGAATAAATACCTAGAAGTGCAATTGCTGGGTCATGGGGTAGTTAGTTCTATTTTTAACTTTTGAGGAACCTCTATACTGTTTTCAAGAGTGGCAGTACCAGTGTGCATTCCCACCAACAGTGTAAGAGGGTTCCCCTTTCTCTACATCCTCACCAACAACTGTTGTTTCCTGAATTGTTCATTTTAGCCATTTTGACCAGTGTGAGGTGGTATCTCATTGTGGTTTTGATCTGTATTCCCCTGATGCCAAATGATGGTGAGCATTTTTTTCACGTGTATATTAGCTTTTTGTATGTCTTCTTTGGAGAAGTGTCTGTTCATGTCTTATACCCATTTCTTGACTGGATTTTTTTTTTATTTTTGGAGGCTGGGTTTGATAAGTTCTTTATAGATTTTGGATACCAGCCTTTATCTAATATATGATTTCTGACTATCTTCTCCCATTCATTACATTGTCTTTTAGTTTTATAATTGCCTCCTTTGCTGTGTAAAAAGTTTTTTATCCTAATGAAGTCCCAATAGTTCCTTTTTGCTTTTGTTTCTCTTGCTTCTGGAGACATGTCTAGCAAAAAGTTGCTGCACCAAGATCAAAGAGGTTGCTGCCTGTGTTCTCCTCTAAGATTTTGATGGATTCCTGTCTCCCATTTAGGTCTTTCAACCATTTTGAGTTTACTTTTGTGTATGGTGTAAGAAAGTGGTCTAGTGTCATTCTCCTGCATGTGACTGTCCAATTTTCCCAATGCCATATGTTGAAGAGGTTGTCTTTTTGGATCTTTGTCCATTGGATATTCTTTCTGTTTTGTCAACGATCAGGTGACCATAGAGCTGAGGGTCCATTTCTGGGTTCTCTATTCTGTTCCACTGAACTATGTTTCAGTTTTTGTACCAGAACCATACTGTCCTGATGATTACAGCTTTGAAATACAGCCTAGAGTCTGGAATTGTGATGCCTCCAGCTTTTCTTTTTTTTTTTCCTTTTCTTTTTTAAATTTTATTTATTTATATGACAGAGAGAGAGCATGCATGCACAAGCACAAAAGTGAGCAGAGGGAAAGGGAGAAATAGACTCCCCACTAAGCAGGGAGCCTGACGCGGGCCTTGATCCCAGGACACCGAGTGACAGGCAGATACTTAACCAAGTGAACCACCCACACACCCTTGCTTTTCTTTTTCAACATTATTTTGGTTATTTGGGGTCTTTTCTGGTTCCATACACATTTTAGATTTGTTCCAGCTCTGTTAAAATTTTGATAGGGATTGCACTGAATGTGTAGATTGCTTTGGGTAACACAGACATTTTAACAATGTATTTTCTTCCAACCCATGAGCATGGAATGTTTTTTCATTTCTTTGTTTCTTCCTCAATTTCTTTCATAAGTGTTCTATAGTTTTCAGAATACAGATCTTTTACCTCTTTGGTTAGGTTAATTTCTAGATATCTAATGGTTTTTGGATAGTAAATGGAATTGAATTCTTGATTTCATCTTCTGCTGCTTCACTGCTTATATATAGAAATGCAACTGATTTCTGTGCACTGATTTTATATCCTGCAACTTTGCTGAATTCCTGTATCAGTTCTAGCAATTTTTGGATGAAGTCTTTTGGGGTTTCTAGATAGAGTATCATGTCATTTCCATAGAGAAAGTTTGACTTCTTCTTCACCAATTTGGATTCCTTTTATTTCTTTTTGCTGTCTGCTTGCTGTGACTAGGACTTTCAGTGCTATGTTGAACAAGAGTTGTGAGAATGGATATCCCTGTCATATTCCTGACCTTATGAGAAAAGCTCTCAGGTTTTCCCCATTGAGGATGCTATTCACTGTGGGTCTTTTCATATGAGGCTTTTATGATGTTGAGATATGTTCCCTCTATCCCCATAAAGTTGAGGATTTTTATCAAGAAAGACTGCTGTGTTTTGTCAAATGCTTTATCTGCATCTATTGAGAGGATCATACAGTTCTTTTCCTTCCTTTTGTTAATGTGGTGTATTACACTGATTGATTTGTAGATGATGAGTCACCCTTGCAGCCAGGAAAAAATCCCTTGCTCATGGTGAATAATCCTTTTAATGTACTTGGATCCTTTTAGCTAGTATCTTGATGTGAATTTTTGCATAGATGTTCATCAGGGATATTGGTCTGTAATTCTTTTTGGTGGGGGTCTTTGGTTTGGGGATCAAGGTAATGCTGGCCTCATAAAATGAATTTGCAAGTTTTCCTTACATTTCTATTTTTTTTGAAACAATTTCAGAAGAACAGGCATTAATTCTTCTTTAAATGTTAGTAGAATTCCCCTGCAAAACCATCTAGCCCTGGACTCTTTTATTTGTTGGGAGATTTCTGATTACCACTTCAATTTCCTTGATGGTTATGGGTCTGTTCAGGTTTTCTACTTTTTCCTGTTTCAGTTTGCGTAGTTCATTGTCTCTAGGAATGCATCCATTTTTTCCAGATTGTCTAATTTGTTGGCATATAATTGCTCATAATATTCTCTTATAATTGTTTGTAGGTCTTTGGTGTTGATCGTGATCTCTCCTCTTTTATTCATGATTTTATTTACTTGGGTCCTTTCTCTTCTCTTCTTGATAAGTCTGGCTAGGGGGTTATCAATCTTATAAATTCTTTCTAAGAACCAGCTCCTAGTTTCATCAATCTATAATACTGTTTTTGTTTTTTAATTTCTATTTCACTGACTTCTGCTCTTCTGCTGGTTTTGCTTTATTTGCTGTTCTTTTTCCAGATCCCTTAGGTGTAATGTTAGGTTGTGTATGTGAGACTTTTCTTGCTTCTTGAGGAAGGCCTATCTTGCTATATACTTCCATTCTGGAACCACCTTTGCTGCATCTACCTTGGGGATACATCTATACACAGTTACTCTGGTTTATTCACTCACCACTGAATTATGAACATTTTCCTAACATCTATTCTAGTGTATGTATTACTTCATGTCTACAACAGTTTGTATCATTATTTTCCTTTGTAACACATACACTGTTTTACAGTCTTTGCTGTAATTAAAAAAAAAAAAAAAAAACTGGAAAATAATTTTGGTACATAAACATTGACCCGTATTTCTGATCATTTCTAAAACAGACTCTAGAAGCCAAAGGTGTGGATCAACAGTTCCTTTTTCACGGTAGAATTACATGATTCTTTCTATTTATAAAATCTCTCTTAACAAAAAAAAAAAAAAAAAAACCTGCTCCATGTCTTTAAAAGCCATAATAAAGATGAAATCTAGATTATATTCACCCTCATTTTTTTGAAAATGGGCAATAGTGGGGCCAACGTAGGAATGGAGCTTCAAATGGACATGTCTTATCAAAGTACTTTTATGAACTTGCAGGCAAGGCCAGGGCTGCAATGGCAACAGAAGAAGCTTGCTTCTGATGATACTAAACATCCAGTGAAGACCCTGGAAGATATTAACTCAAGAGGGGAAGAGGACCAGAGTACACAACTCAGTTCAAAGTTCTAATTATCCTTCCTGGCGACAGTGTAGAATAGTAGAAAGAGAAGAGGAAAAGGGGCCTCCCAGCTCTGTCACTAAGTGGGTGTCATCTTGGATAAATCCTATTTCAATGTGAGGATCTTCATCTAAAAATGTACTGGCTACATCAGATGGTTTCCAAGACACCTTCCAGGTGAGATCATCAATGATTCTATGATCACCATTCAGCAATAAAACTCTGGTTTTTCACCTCTGGCCTTCATGTTCTGGCCCCTTCAGTAATTTCTATTGTTGCTTTCCTAATTCTTTCCCAAGAGGTATCTGCCCCTCTGGGCCTACTGATCATCTAGTACCGAGAGAACACTTAGTATCCTCACCCCTCACCATGGCTCATATGTCTGATGGCCACTATACCTTTAATTCTCACCATAATCTCGGGGACTGTGTCAGTCTCCAGGAAATTTAATCTTTTTATGCTCTTAAGGTGCATAGTATTCATGCCAGCCTTGGAGGACCTAGTTTGCACTATATGTGTTATTTATCCCTTGGGTAAACCTTTCATGACTCTCCAGCTAACTAGTAAGCACCTTGTACTGGCAAAGACCTGCTATCCTGACACTTCTCACACTTCCACAAACCACTCAGCAGCATGGGACTCTACACACACTTCTGATTATCAGTTTAGCACTGTATTGAACATGTAAGTATACCTTAATTGTGAAGTTTAACAGTTGAGACATAAAGAGAAGTTAAACAAAAATTACTAATTCTATCTAAATCCTATTAAACCCAAAATAATTTTCAACATAAGATCAAACAGTTTTTCCCATGAACATGCTGAGGTCAGTAGCTGCTTATCTCAAAGTGGCAGCCTAGCCTGTCCTGGGGCAATTGCATTCTTCACAAAGTTCTTCCAGAGACAAAATAGATGTTCCCACAGTAATCCCACCTAACCGTCTCACATGCAATACACCTGAGGGCAGTGGCCATTCTGAGGTCATCCTGCATCTGGGCTTTACATGTCCTCCTTTGCCAGTTCCTCTATAATCCTGGCATGCTCTTCTAGCAATAGCCCTCTAAAAACACAGCTTCCAGAACTGATGGAACATTCTAGATGAAATAGGACTACTGAATTGGAAGAACCATTATCTCCCCTGTTTGATGGCATAATATGGGATCACTCACTGAAGGTCAGCCACAATATGCTGGCAGAAATTGAGTTTTGACTAACTCAAAACCTCATTTCAGAAAACCAAAATCTGAAAGTCAAAATTCTATACACCAATATCTTTTTCTTTGCACCAAAAAATGTCTGGAATGATGACATTTTACCTTGGATGTGAAAATTACACACATAGTGTTCTGCCTTCAAATTGTTTATTTCAAGAGAAATGATATACTGACATGACACAAAAAATGGAAAGGAACTGCGTTAGTGACTCAATTTAAACTGTTTAACCTCACTGGGAAACCCTCTTAGATAAATTTGTTGTTCAATTGCACCATCTGGTGGATAAAGGTATTTAAACTCCCCCATTGTGAGAAGAAAAAATATATATCATTTATAAGGCTAAAGATACCACTAAAACTAAAATCTTAGTATGAAAAGATTCCCATGCTTTACCCAAAAGCTTTCTTATAGAGAGGCTCTTGATAAAATTAAAATACCACCAAAAATCTGGAGCTCGTAAAACTTCACTATTAAAGAATCCAGTTCACCTTCTTCAAGAAATGTTGTTCATCATGAAAAAACATTTTTAATCTGGGAAGAACCTCAGAGAGCAGTTAATTGACTTCCCTTTACAGATGAATACTCCAAGGCAAAGACAGGGCTTTCTTGAAAGTCACAGCTAGGGATAGAAGGCATTGATTATATATGTAAATAGATCAAATATTCTGTATTGTTTAATACGGGCTTCTATTTCAAGAGGCTGTGTGGGAAAGGCAGGAAATAAGTCAGTCAGTGTCTGCCACAAAGTGCCACTCTCATGGGTTGACAATAATCTGGCCACCCCACTATGGACTATGGCCTACCCCAACTGATCTCTGTAACACCAGGAGTTGTCATATCCTCCCTGCCTCTACAACCTGCCTGCATCCCCCTTCACCTTAGATTTAAACTCCTCTCCCCCTCCCCCAGAGAAAACCATCCTATCAATAAAAATAAGACAGATAAACACCCAGGTAACAATATTTAGAAAATATATCTAACTCATGGATAATCCTTTTTTTCACTTAAGAATCCACAAAAATGACACAAGGAATGAAAAAACAAATAAGATGGATAAGATAAATGTTAAATCACCCTGTTGAAGAACATCTATCAACAGGGGGAAGTGTTCACAATGTGTTAAAAGAGGAGAGGAAAAGAAAAGCCAAATACGTTCACTACAATACCATATTTGTAAAAAAACAAACAAATAAAAAACAAGCAAAACACAGTTCTCAAGCATTGAGTAGAGAAAAAACATTGGAAAGAAATACACTAAATATTGTTGACAGCTAGTGTCTTGGCCAGGATTTATGAGTGATTTCAATTTTTTTTCTCTTACACAATGCTTTCCAAATTTTTTATCCTTAACATTTATATCAATAAAAAGATACTTTTACTTTAAACATTTATGTATTTATACTCACATACCATAAAGAAAACTGGCAAAAGAAACTGGAAAGAGGACCCCAAATACATATCCATCTACCCAGTACGTAAATAGTAGGGAAAAAAATTTTTCTAGCTCTCAAGAAGAAATATATAGTATAAGACACTGTATTTTTGTCTTAAGGCTTACCACACTTTTTCAAAATGTTTTGAATTTTCTATCAATTGTATATTAAGAAATACCTAGATAACTAGCAAATTAACGGGGCACCTGGGTGGCTCAGTGGGTTAAAGCCTCTGTCTTCAGTTCAGGTCATGATCCCAGGGTCCTGGGATCAAGCCCCACATCGGGCTCTCTGCTCCGCAGGGAGCCTGTTTCCTCCCCTCTCTCTCTCTGCCTGCCTCTCTGCCTACTTGTGATCTCTCTCTGTCAAATAAATAAAATCTTTAAGAAAAAAAAAAAAACTAGCAAATTAACATTGACAGATAATCTCAGAAATATAATTTCTCAAAAATATTTTATATATTTTAAGACTTAAGGACTTGAGTTCACATCCTACATCCATTTTCTGCTTGTAATATTTTGCCTAAATTATATGACAGAATATATGGCATGATGTTCCCCAAAGAATTCCACGGCTTCCATGATGAGAACCACTGTCTCCTAATGTGATTCGGTCTTTGACATATATATCAGGAATGCAGAAGGTCAGTAACAAGAATGCTACATTGTTAATTTGTCTTAAAATCCCTGCATCATCTATGTAGACTGCAATCAGAGAAGTAATCTTTTGCTAAATATCTTAAGGTAACAATTTTTCAAGTGTTGTCTGAGGACCACGGGAAAACACCCAGCTCCCATTAGGGTCCATGGCATCAAAACTGTCTCCACAATTATACCAACATATTATTTGCTTTACGCTCTAACAGTAGGGTCAAGTTTTCCAGAGGCTATATGACATCACCACAGACTAAATGCAGAAGCAAATATATGAATCCAGAGGTCTTCTATGAAGCTAGACATTAGAGATTTGAAAAATGTAAAATAATGCCACCCCTTTCACCAAATTTTTTGTTTCAGAAAGTAGTCATTTTTTAATAAAAATGTGTATGTTATTATATAACAGGTTATTCTTAATGAATTAAAATACTTTTAAATAATCTCTGTTTCAGTTTTAATTTCTAATAAAACAAACAAGGATAGATATAACCTATAAGAGAAAAGCTCTTTGAGGTCCACAACAAATTATTAGAAGTATAAAGGAGTCCTGAGACCAAAAAGTTTGGGTATTCATGTTCAGAAAAATCACACACTGGGAAAGATTACTCTAACCTGTACCTCTTCTTTCTCTTCAAAGCACTTTTCAATTGCGGTGACCAGTCCACCTTAAAGACCATTATCTGACCACAGTTCCTAAAGCATGATTGTGATCCTATCACTTCTCTACTAAAATGATCTCAAACAATTCAAAATGTACAGAGTGATAACCAAAAACATATAAGAAACTCCATGGTTTGTCCTCAGACTATTTTTTAGAAGTCATACACTCATCAATTCTACAATTATTCACTGCATTTTTTACAGCAGACATTATGATAGGAGCTGGGACTGAAGAATCTATGAGAAATAACACCCGCCATCACTGTTAGTGACTAAGCATCTACTGAGGAAGAAATATTCACATAAATACAGATATCCTTAATTTTCTATACTCCTTCTCCAAATTTGCTGTAATTATATGTTTTTTACCTAAAATTCACTATCCACACCAAAAACTCTCTAAAATGACTTTGAATGTCTACCAACAGAATCATTTTGGTTGTACACAAATCTAGGTAAGGGAATGTGGATAACAGCTCAGTTGTATCTCAACTGTTCTCCCTAAAGGATTATGCCAATCATGCCTTGTGCCCATATTAAATGTACCTCTGACAACCAATGCTATCATTATTCCATCATTTGTAATGAAAATATTCTGAGAAAGTAGAAATGTGCAACAAAAGAGCATAAGAAACTTAGAAAAGCCCACATATCAGAAAGAGTTGGAAGTAATGGTGCATACTGAGGGAAGGAAGCACATAACACATTATCTCCACATGTCCCTATCTATTAAACACAGCAGTGTTGGAAAGCTTAACTGTAGTTACCCAAGCCAACACAATATCTGAGAAACTAGAGAAATTCCTTGTACAGTGGACTGAGCTCCACTCGCAGTGTAAGAGACCACTGAGTACCAGGCTGGTACAGGGGCGGGTGGTGGACACTTTCAAAGACCTAGAAGCATCTGCAAGTGTGGGGAGAGGGAAAACATGATTTAGTGAAGAAACTAAATCTCAAAGCAAGTCTGAGAGATTTATGAGCAGTGATATATGGCACAAGCTGAAGGTCATGGGTGAAGCAGTTTCCCCTCACAGTGAGATGGACTATCTTCCTCTAGAGAACTGCAAAAAACTGCCATTAAAAATGATGACACACAGGGGCGCCTAGGTGGCTCAGTGGGTTAAGCCTCTGCCTTCAGCTCAGGTCATGGTCTCAGGGTCCTGGGATCGAGCCCCGCATCAGGCTCTCTGCTCAGCAGGGAGCCTGCTTCCCTTCCTCCCTCTCTCTGCCTGCCTCTCTGCCTACTTGTGATCTCTCTCTGTCAAATAAATAAATAAAATCTTAAAAAAAAAAAAAATGATGACACACAAAGGAAACTGACAGTCTTAATGCAATACCATCTCACAACAAATACCTGTTGACCTGCATGTCCCCTAGCCAAGTTGCATCATCCCACACAGTTACAGGACATTTTCTCCCTGTTCCTCTTCACCCTTTATGTCTCTTCTTTTCTGTGTTTGTTTCCTGAAGTAACTCATGCTTCTTTTAACAGAAAGCTAACTTTTTAAATGTATAGTTAGCAAAGGCTAGTTAAAACTTTCTTTATAATGGACGAGCCCAGGGAACCAGGCTCAGTTGGTTAAGTGTCTACCTCGGCTCAGGTAGTGATCTCAGAATCCAGGGATCCAGCCCCGCATCGGGCTCTCTGCTCTACAGGAAGCCTGCTTCTCCCTCTTCCTCTGCCCCACCCCGCTCATGCTCTCTCTTTCTCAAATAAAAAATTCTTTAAATTAATTAATTAAATGATTAAAGTTAAAATATATATACATACATATGTGTGTATGCATATATATATATATAATACATATAATGGACAAGCTCTTAGTGAAGCATAACAACAACAAAAATTCAGATCTTAGGACTCTTAAGCTTATGTTACTGTTACCAAGGAGTCATCTAGGGCCACCCTAGAACACAGGTTGTTCTACTTCTAACTTCAGGAACATCTTAAATTACAGAAAATTCCTGACATAATTAAACACCTCAATTTCATTGTCTCGAGGTATCAGTGTAGTCAATATATATGAATCCCATTCTCCTAAGAACATTCAGAATTTTATTTTATTTATATCCCATCTATCTCAAAAAGGTTTTGAGTTTCCTTCCCTGAGTATATAAGTATGCCTAATTATGTATTAGGGATTGGTAAACCTTTTCTGCAAAGGGCAGACAATAAATATTTTAGCTTTTGTGGGCCATACAGTCTCTGTCACAACTACTTAACTCTGCCACTGTAGTGGGAAAAAAAAAAAAAAACATAATATGTAAATGAATTAATTAGGTTATGCTCCAATAAAACTTTATTTATAAAGACAGACAGACTCTGACTGCAACCCCTGCTCTGCATCATGTCACTACATGCCTTTGATAGTCTTGGTATTTCAAATTTTAAAAATAGTAACTTGTTTAAGTCATATGACTGTTACCACTGCCACAGGCTACTGCCCATGGTACAGACTGATACTCTTTTCATATATCCTAATATATCAAGCTCTGACAGAAGCGGCATAATGAAAGAGGAGCCAAGACTTGTGCCCTGGGATCTCCAAGCCCTTTTCCCTTTACTATTAGGGCTGACTGTTCTCAACTAGTCCCTAATGAACACCCTCACCCCTAATTCCTATTTTGTATCCAAGCCTGATCATCACTAAAATGGCACCTATCTCATTGCCACTGAAAAGATTTGCCTGGTGTTGCAAGACAAACATGTGAGCAGGAGGGGCCACTATAGCACCACAGGTCTGAGCCCATATCCACAGCTCTGTCTGCAGCCTGGGGGAGATCCCTTCCCCTTAGAACCCATTATTCCAGACCAGCCTCACCCTCTTCAAGCTGTTGCTCAGAAAAAGCCTCAGAATTCAGTAAAAATACAGAGACTATTATGTGTGATCTTACCCTCAAATTTGTCTAGCTCCTGTCCCATCCTCCTTTCTACCTCCTTTCCCTGACTTGAACTTACTCATCTAGGTCCAGTTCAGACCCTTCACTGCCAAGGCTGCTCTAAGTGTCTCTCCTCCCAGCTCCCTAGAACTCTATACTTGCCCTTATGGCCAAGCTTATTACACTTTATTGCCCCTCTAAGCTTATGAATTGAGAATTAGGATCCTTATTCATCTCTGCACCCTGCACAAATTGTTCCTCTTACCTCCCCATACCCTCTCCAAGAACTTCCAGCCTCATAAAAAAAAAGACATTTTTTTTTATCATTCTACTAAAATTAAAGGAAATGGCCATAACTAGAAATTAGGGGGGGAAGTGAACTACAATTTGATGACTATTAATTCCTTCCAAAATAATGCCATGAACCATAACAAACCAGTTCCCAATACAATTTAAGTATTGAGCCAAACAGTTAATTCAAGGACACAAAAGTAAAGAGCAAAACAATACATGGGCTTTTTCAATGCACATTCATTGTGATGATTTCAAACACTGCTGACAGTCATGGGTTATTAGTACACTCACTCTTCATCACTCTCTTTAATGCACTCTCTCTCTTGTTACTCTCCATCTACCTCAAGGGGGCAAAAACAAGTTGTTTTTCATTTGTTTGAATTAAGGTGTCGGGAGTGTGATTGGTTTTGTTTACCAGTAGCAGTTTACAACATCTCACTTGTCTCTCTTTATGCTACAAAAGCTTTGAAAATGTCACCTCAACTCTGGAGCTACTAAATGTTCCTGCTGAGCCACACAAATTCCATAAAATACTATTATGCCTTGTAGGTCCTACCAAAATGACAGATTCCTGACTTTAGAATGTGGAAATGATGAGGATGTTTACAGACCAGTGGATTTTGTTCATTGGATTTTAATAAGTAACATTACTCAAATCTGAATTCTAAAGTCAATGTTCCCTTAAAACAATGCCAATATGTAACTGGTTTTCAAATACAAGTAGTACATTGATAAGCACAGCAAACCAAAGTCCATCAATCTCTTCTGTGCCATCAACAATTATCACATTTTACTATCAAATAGGGAAAACTAGTTCAGGGCATTTTTTATGTTAATTGTTCTGGAAACTGTCCCAAATATGCTACTTCTAACTCTTAATTATATATGCAAAAATTAACAAAGAGGTCAATGATCCCAAAGCGTGGTTAGAAAAAAAAAATACCTTAAACTGAGTTTTATTTTATTTTAGAGCACTAAGACAAGCAAACTCTCAGTCTAGAATCTGGATGATTTCTCAGTTCAATCTTCCTCTTGGAAGCCTAAAAACTTACCAGTATCATACAGAAGAAACCAGAGAGATGGCATAATATAAATCATTAGTTCAGGGAAATTTATGATTGACAAACACCTAGTTTCACACATTTCTACAACTATGAGATTAACTATATACAACTGCTTTCTTAAGACTGGTATGGAAGATATCAGGGCGCCTGGGTAGCTCAGTTGGTTGAGTGTGCAACTCTTGATTTTGGCTCAGGACATGATCTCAGGTCTGAGATCTAGTCCCCAACCCCCATGGGCTCCATGCTCAGCAGGGAGTCCACTTGGGATTCTCTCTCTCCCCCTTCCTTTGCCCCTCCCCTTCCTATGCATGCATGTGAGCTCTAAATAAATAAATAAATATTTTTTTAAATAAATATATAAATAAAAATTTTCACAATTTGTGGAAAAAAGGAGATTAAGTCTATTCAAATATAACTTTTTAAAATGACTAGGGGAAAACTACTAGAAGAATGCATATTAAAATACTGTTTTTTGCCTTAAGTTGGTAGTATTATGGATAATATTTCCTGTTTCCCAATTATCTTTATAATGTGTTTTGCTCGAAAAAATTTTAGTATATTTTAAAGATTAGCCGGATAACCATTTAATAAATTACTGTTGAACAATTTCAGGTATTTGTACCATTCACTGGTTTCAATATGAAAAATACTAGCAACAGAAATCCTACAGATATGTCTTGATTACCTCTTATCCTATAAGGAATCATGGATCAGACAAAGCACAACAAATTAGTACTTTTCTAGTACCTAGAACAGTAACAAAAATGGGAAATCAGCCGTTTACAAAACCCACTACAGTATAAATATACCTCATCATATATGCTCCCATTAATGTCTGCGCCATAGATAGGTGCCACAAAAGTTAAGTTCTTCCAGTACTTGCGCTCCAAATCTTCATAATCCAAGTATCTTGGAGTACAGTACCTGCAAAAGGGAAATGAAAAGAGTATAAAACAGTGGGACAGTATAAGATTTTCCCCACCCACATTACTTAAATAAGTAGCAACTCATGTTGTCAAATCTAACAAGTAAATACACAAATGTATTTATCATGGATCTCTGGATACTCTAAATACTCCCAAATAACTCTATGCAGTAACTTCATATATTTTACTAATAAGGAAAATATTTTCAAGAGCATATCAAATATAGAAGGAGAATAGTTAAAAATTCACCATTTTACATCCACAAATCAATCAATGTAATACAATACATTAATAAAAAAAAGAACAAGAACCATATGATACTCTCAATAGATGCTGAAAAAGCATTTAACAAAGTACAGCATCCTTTCCTGATCAAAACTCTTCAAAGTGTAGGGATAGAGGATACATACCTCAATATCATCAAAGCCATCTATGAAAAACCCACAGCAAATATCATCCTCAATAGAGAAAAACTGAGAGCTTTTCTGCTAAGGTCAGGAAATATGGCAGGGATGTCCGTTATCACCACTGCTATTCAACATAGTACTAGAAGTCCTAGCCTCAGCAATCAGACAACAAAAAGAAATTAAAGGCATCCAAATTGGCAAGGAGGAAGTCAAACTATCACTCTTTGCAGATGATATGATACTATATGTGGAAAACCCAAGACTCCACTCCAACACTGCTACAACTTGTACAGGAATTCAGTAAAGTGTCAGGATATAAAATCAATGCACAGAAATCAGTTGCATTTCTCTACACCAACAACTAGACAGAAGAAAGAGAAATCAAGGAGTCAATCCCATTTATAATTGCACCCAAAATTATAAGATACCTAGGAATAAACCTAACCAAGGAGGCTAAGAATCTATACTCAGAAAACTATAAAGTACTCATGAAAGAAATTGAGGAAGACACAAAGAAATGGAAAAATGTTCCATGCTCATGGATTGGAAGAACAAATATTGTGAAAATGTCTATGCTACCTAAAGTACTCTACACGTTTAAGGCAATCCCTATCAAAATGCCTATCAAAAAAATTTTTTAAAGAAATGGAACAAATAATCCTAAAATTTATATGGAACCAGAAAAGACCTCGAAGAGCCAGAGGAATACTTGAAAAAGAAAGCCAAAGTTGGTGGTATCACAATTCCAGACTTCAAACTCTATTACAAAGCTGTCATCATCAAGACAGTATGGTACTGGCACAAAAACAGACACATAGATCAATGGAACAGAATAGAGAGCCCAGAAATAGACCCTCAACTCTATGGTCAACTAATCTTCAACAAAGCAGGAAAGAATGTCCATTGGAAAGACAGTCTCTTCAACAAATGGTGTTGGGAAAATTGGACAGCCACATGCAGAAAAATGAAACTGGACCATTTACTTACACCACACACGAAAATAGACTCAAAATGGATGAAGGTCCTCAATGTGAGAAAGGAATCCATCAAAATCCTTGAGGAGAACACATGCAGCAACCTCTTCAACCTCAGCCACAGCAACTTCTTCCTAGGAACATCTCCAAAGGCAAGGGAAGCTAGGGCAAAAATGAACTATTGGGATTTCATCAAGATCAAAAGCTTTTGCACA